CCGCAGTCTTTCTCCACTGGATTCCCAGAGGAGAGACCACACCCATCTACAGCACGGGAACTTCAGAGGTAAGCTACAATCTTCTATGGGATCATTGCCTCAACAGAACCACATCCGTCACTCCAGGAGGACTGCAGCCACCATTTAATCAGACTGCTACCAGCACCCTGACCAACAGGGTATCAGGTTGTATTCTGACTCTCTCAGAGTGCGTTTTTTTTGTGGTTTTTTTCTATTGTACTGCTGCATTTTCATTTTAATTTCTTTAGTAAAGAACTGTTATTCCTATATTTTTATCTGGGATCACTTTGAAATCAAGATTATAATAATTTGGAAAGGGCTGTTGCTTACATTTTTATCAATTTCAATGGAGGCTTCTCCTTTCCTTAGTAAACACCTTTCCTTTTAAATCAAGACACCCCAGATTCCCGGTGACTTCTAGAGAGGGACTTGGACAGAGGGACCTTCAAACTCAACGTGCTCATTCCTTGTTTTCTCCTAAACCAGGATTTTCCAATCCCAAACTTTGGCTGGATGGATGAGAAGGCTGCAAGGAAGAGGAAGATCTCCCAGGACACCCAGGCAGGTGAGGAGGAAGTCAGTGCCCCTTTCCCCCTCTCTCCTGCTCCATCTCCCAGCCCAGCCTGGCCCCCGGCTGCAGGACAACCCCGCTGCCGACGCCGTCCTGCCGGGGACGCACTGGGGGGATCTCCTTCCCCTTCCCTCTGGCACGGAGGCAAATCCCATCCTCTCCTTGTCCTTCCTCCCCCAGACAAGGAGCTGAGGATGGAGACCAGGGAGAACAAATCCCCACGGCAGAACCTCGTGGAAGAAGCCGTTGTGAGCAGCTCCACAGTGCAGGAATCCAATAGGGAGGAAAATCCCCAGAGATCCCACAGGAGGAGGGGCTCCAAACCCATCCCAGGGTGCTCTGAGGAGGAAAGACCCACCCTGTGCCGGGAAGGCGGCCGGAGATCCAGCCAGGGCTCTGAGCTGGTGGTCCATGAGCAGCTTCAGGATGGGGAGAAGCCCTACCAGTGCTTGGAGTGTGGGAAGAGCTTTAGCCGGAGCAACAGCTGATCTGCCACCAGATGATCCACACTGGGGAATGGGCCTACGAGTGTGGGGAATGTGGGAAGGGCTTCAGCTGCAACTCCCACCTCATCATCCACCAACGCATCCACACTGGGGAGAGGCCCTATGAGTGTTCTGAGTGTGGGAAGAGGTTTCACAGCAGCTCCAATCTCCTCCTGCACCAGCGAATTCACACGGATGAGAGGCCCTTCTGCTGCCCTGACTGTGGGGAGGGCTTCAAGCAAAACTCCCACCTCATCAACCACCGGCGCATCCACACTGGGGAGAGACCCTACAAGTGTGGGGAATGTGGGAAGAGCTTCAGCCACAGATCCAACCTCAATACCAACAAACACATCCACAATGGGGAGAGGCCTTACAAGTGTCCCCAGTGTGGGAAGAGCTTCTCAGACGGGTCTAACTTTGGCAGACACCAGAAGAGGCACCGGTAAGGGAAGCTCTGCAAGTGCCTCAAAATACAGGAAGAGCTTTGTTCACTGCTCCAGCTTCATCCGCCCATGGAGAATCCACACTGGGAAGTGACCTGGTGATCCATGTTCCCTGGGATCCATGCTGGGAAGACACCTGTACCTTTTCCTGCTCATGGCAATGTCATGATGTGGAATCAAAGACTGTGAGACTGTGATCATGGTCCATTATATTCAATCCCATCTCAGGTCATTGCCAGGGGCAGGAAAAGGACTCCCCCTCTCTCACCAGAGAAGGGTGTCCTTTCTTGGCAGGAGGAAATACGTGGCCAGGAAGAGTCAGTTGGTGGTATTTTAGTTTTCCCTGTGAATGGTTTGTCTTATCCTTTCTGTTACCAAAATTGTTTCTGTGTCTGTTTGTTCCTTATCTTGTTGCTGTTCTCAATAAATTGTTCTTATCCCAGCCTGGGATCTTTGTCTTTTGTGCTTTCCATGGGAGGTGGGAGGGAAGTGAGCAGCAGCGCGGTTTCAGCAGGAGCAGGAAATTGGGGAATGCCATTCCTGAAGCCCAGCCCATGGAAACCGAGCATCCCAGCTGGTGCCAGGCCTGGTTGCCATGGCAGCAGCCTTGGGAGCGGGTCCCTGGCTGGGGGCTGCGGGAACCTCTTCCCTCTGGTGCCCAGGGACAGGAGTGGAGGGAGCGGCTGGAGCTGAGGCGGGCAGGTTTAGGCTGGATGTGAGGAAAAGGTTTTTCCCGCGAGGCTGCTGGGGCTCTGAACAGGCTCCCCAGGGAAGGCTCCCAGCTCCAGGGCTGGCTGAGCTCCAGCAGCGTTTGGCCAGCGCTGCCAGGCCCAGGCTGGGATTGTTGGGGTGTCCTGCGCAGGGCCAGCAGTTGGACTGGAGGATCCCCATGGCTCCCTCTCAACTCAGCCAATTCTGTGGCTCTGGGATCCCATGAGCCTGGGGATGGGACTGCAAATGGTTGCCATGGCAACGGGCTCAGGCTCCAGGCCTGAGCTGGTGTCCATGGCAACCACCCCTGGCATGGGGTCTCCATGGAGCTGCCAAGGGACTGACCATAGCAACAGGGGCTGTGATGGTTGGCATGTAAATAGCATAGCAACAGGGGACTGGTTATGGTTACCATGGAATCAGACCATAACAATGGGGCAGATGTTGCCATGGGAACAGACCATAGCAGGGAGACAGCTCTGGCCAGGAGCAGCTCCTGAGCACAGCCCAGCAGGGCTGGGGCCCTGCCAGGGCAGCTCAGGGACACAGAGAGCAGGCCCAGACAGAGCTGCCAGGGGCTCAGCACTGGCAGGGGCTGTGGGATGTGCCAGAGGGGGCTGTGTCCCAGCAGCACCTCTGTGGCTGTGTCCTGGAGCCCCAGAGCAGCTGTGATGTCAGAAAGGGGCTGTGTGACAGCTCTGAGTGGGTTGTGTGAGGTCACAGATGGGGTTGTGACATCCCAGAATTTGTTGTGTGAGGTCACTGAGCAGCTACAGCATCATAGAGGGGACTGTGTGACATCATAGAGATGGCTGTGACATCATAGCATGGCTGTATGTCATCATAGACCTGGTTTTGAGGTCAAAGTATGTGCTGTGACATTACAGGGTATCTGTATGACATCACAGAGATGGTTGTATGACATCACTGATGGGGTTATGACATCACAGCGCTGGCTGTGACATCATAAAGGATGGTGTGAGGCCATTGAGCAGACACTGCCATCATCGAGGGTGGCTCTGTGACATCACAGACCAGTATGTGACATCACAGAAAAGACTGTGACATCACAGTTTGAATTTTTGACATCACAGTCTTCTGTGACATCACAGTACAGCTGTATGACAACACATGACAACATCCCAGAGTTGGCTCACTTAACAGAGCTCAAACCTAACAGGACTTCAGTTATACCTTAACCTTAACTGAAACCTCAAATGTCACAATTTAGCAAAACATTTTGCTAATTAAAATACAGCATTTACTGTGTTTAACCTAACTCACAACCTATGACTTATCAAATTAGCAGAGGAATAATACTAAACAGTATTTAAATTAGCTCATAATTTATATTAATCCTAACAATGGAGCAAAAGAAGAACACTAGGCATTATTTAACTTAGCTTATGCCTCGTGACTTACCCTCACTCACAGGCCTGACTGACTCAGATCTCCAAGGCACTCCAGCCCCTCCCAGAGCAGCATTTCTGCCCCATTTGCCAGGGCACAGCACTGGTGTGTGCACAC